GTGATGTGCTAATAACAAGAATGTGAGGGAGTGGCTGTCCTAGTAATGAACATGCTCAGATGTTAAGATCTGCAGGGATGGCAGCTACTGAGTGTCCCATGACTGGGAAAGGCTTATTATGTGGGGCAGGGTAGAGGACCGTGTCTCTTGTGGCACCCCAACTATGGAATGCCGTTCCCTTGAAGGATAGCTGATGCCAGCATTAACTATCTTTCAGTATCTGGTAAAAATCTGACTTTTATTGTCACATTTGGAATTAGTGTCCACAACCTGACCATTTTATTTACTATTTGTTTTACTTGGTCATATTTTGCTGTTTGTGGGTTGTAGATAGTAATTATTCTTATGAATATTATTTTTCAAGTACAGGATAGGTATTTTAGGAAACTGTCGTATAGGGAGTCAGATCTGTGGTCCATCCGTCTCAGCAGTACCTACCCTGAGCAGTGGATCCTCTCTAGGATTTCAAGTCAAAGGTCTATCAGAGTTTGAACCTGGGAATTTGTGTGTGCAAAGCAGCTATTATCCTTCCCAAACTAATTTAAGCGGTAACATCCTCTTAAGCAGTAATAAAGAGTTGGTATTAACATTGATTCAATCTGTAGATATTTATATATGTAAATCAAACAAAATTAAAATTAGATAAATCTGAGATGTCATAACTTGGTTTTTCCATTTAGCGATCACACCTGAAACCATGAGGGCTTGAAATGTTATTTTGGTAAAAGGTGGAAGTTTCATGGCCACAGGAGACAGCATCAGCTTCAGTTATCTTGTATTACCACTCATAGAAGTGAGCAATTTGAGAAACTGAGCAATCTAAAGAATACCAAAGGACGGTCTGGATGTTCAGTTGTTGCTGTGCATCACAGCATCCAAGGAACGGAAGTTTAATAAGGGGCGGTGTGAAACTAGACCCTTCCCGCATTCTAAAGGGGCAATTTAGCAGCTGTGCTTGTGCAGCGAGCTATTTCTGCCATCAAGGTTCCAGGAAATGTGTTGGGAGATTTTTAAAATCATTTGGCATGTCGCTTTTTTTTAAGGTTTACATCAAGGGCCTGTGTGCGTGTGCAGAGACAGTGAATAATTTAGCGTACTTCAGCCATTTGAAGCCTGTATACATTTTGGCAGCTTTCACAGAAACCTCTGAAGGAGAAGGCGTTCTGGAGCTGCTGTCACAGCAGGCATTTCAATGCTGTAGCCATGTCACATAGTTGCCTTGATCCTCCCTTTTGTTTCCACTGGCTGTTCTCCCTTTTTTTTCTGTTTTTTTGGTGCTTGTTTTTATTTTATTTTTTACCAAACATGGTGTTCACAGCAACAGCACGAAAGACAACAGGCCACAAAGGCTCCCGAGGTATCAGTGGCTTTATTTGTAAGGAAATGTCAGTGAGCATGTCATGATGGGCTGCGGGAGGCAACCCCTTTGCCAGATGACCTGCTGATCTCAGAAAAGTGATTTGTCTTGTCCTTAGAACTGTCATTTGCCTGGCACTGCAGTAGCGATCTCCAAACATTTCCCATGCAGTTGTCTTTTCTGGCTCGCTCAGAAAAATGTGAAAAATATGAGCTTTTTGAAGCCCTCTGAAACAGCAGCAGGCAAGCATTTGGGCTGGGGGGGGGGGGCATATTTGGAATTTCCAAGGATTTATTTAAGCATTTATCTCCCACCCAACTCAAACCCTAGGTGACATACAGAAAGAAGACAAAACCATAATCAATACAAAAAATAACATAAATGGCTATTCAATAGATTTATAACCTGCCTTTTATTTTATACAACTCAAGACAGCGTACATACTGCTGTCTCCTCCTATCTTCCCCACAACAACCGCCCTGTGAGATGGGTTGGGCTGAGAGAGGGTGACTGGCCCAGACTCACCCAGCTGGCTTCCATGCCTAAGGGAGGACTAGAACTCTGTTTTCTGGTGGATGCAGCTATAAAATGAATGACATGGAGCACAGCCATGGGGGTCATGCCTTTTCTCAAAATGGCTGGTGCTTTGTTTTCCAGCAAGACCATTTCCTATTGATTTGTTTTTAATGATAAGTTGTTGTTGTTTTAAGTTTGGTAAATGCTGAAGGAAGTGTCATGGGGCACATTGGTGATGGTGGTCATCTTTTCAATAGAGCCAGGGGTCATTGGGGAAACCCTGTGAAAGCATAGGGCCATAAAATATTTCTTTTAAATGGACTTTAAAAAGAAACCAATGCACTAGAATGTGAGTTTGATCTACTCAGCAGTGTATTATGTTTATCTGTCTATCTAAAAAAAATGTACAGCACCCCTCAAAACAGTTTTCCCCGGATAATTTACAGAAATAGTTTTTAGTTTAAAAAACATACTGTGATTAATATTAAAATAACATATATTAATAATGGCTATATCATAATGGAAAAAGGAGGCCTCGTTCAGATTCTTGGAGCATCTCATATGCAAAAAGTGATAAGGAATGGGGCCTTTGAGGAGGTCACTTTGTCTTCCAGTTGAGATCTGCTTATCCCCAAAACTAAATACCTTTCATAAAAGTATAATCTTCTTTTAAAATGCTCAATTCCATGTAGTTTTCTTGGCAAAGTCTGTTTCTGGGTTACCATTGCTTCCGAGATGTTTTTTCATCTTACCAGTCTAGCCCACAGCCTGGGATTTCCTGCGTGTCTCCCGTTTAAGTATTAACTTGTTCGCACCCTGTTTAATTTTTTGAGATCACTGAAGACGGACCTGCTTTATGTCCTAGTTATTTAGGAAGTTCTTTAGTTGAAAAAAAACGACGATGGTTTCATTTAATAAAATAAATAAATAAATACTTAATAAAAGTATAAATGATAGATGCTTTGTATGAAAATATGTTTACTTACTCAGAAAAACCAGAATGTAACATGGAAGGTATAGCGTAGAAAGTATCTACACTTGGGCGGCTAGAAGGTTTGATGGGGAGCGCCCACACCCTTTTGCCTTCTGGTGAATGGGGATTTTTTCACTAGCCATGCTCGCCATGGTGGCCATTTTGTGCCTGAGCAAGCATCTTCCATGATAGCCATTTTGTGAGAGTACCCATGGGAAACTCTCAAAATGCAAATGTGCCCCCCCCACTGGCCAAAATGGGGAAATCTTAGGAATAGGTGTTCTTCTTTTATGAATCAGACAAAATCAAGCGGATGTCTTCTGATATTTTGAAAGACTTGGAGCTGAATAAGAGCACATTAAGTTCATTGGGGCTTACACAGTGGATAATAGCCAAGGACACTGAATGGCTGTATGTTTAAAACTGCAGTATATTTATGTGTTTTTCTTCGAACATTTTGTTTTGGGAAGATGAGTGACAGAAAGGCATTATCTCTGACCTTTTTCCAGCAGAAGTCTCTCTTGTGTTTTCCATAAGGATTGCACCCTTTCATCATTCTTTTTTCCCACAAGGTGTCACTCTCAAGCTACACACAAAAAAGTAATTCTTGGCATTCTCCACATGCTTATCATGAAGTTTTCTATTCCCACTTCATTGTTTGTTGCTATTTTCAGGATAAAATATAGGGAGCAAAAAGCTACATATTAATTATATATACTAACTATTGCCCATCAGTTGTAGCAAGTTGCTAATTCCTGGCTGTGGATTGCAGTTAAGTATGAATGCACTCGGATTCCTCACAGAAATCTGTTGAATCAAGCAGTATATGTAAACATACTTTCTACTTTCTTTTATTATAGTCCAAATCAATAGTTCTAAGAAAGTCATAAAGAGACACCTATCATTTAGATTCAGGACCAATGGTGTATGCATTTTGCATTACTACTTTGGGGCAATCCTTTATAATATTGAAATTCTGGAATGCTGAAAATAAATACAGTGACCTGAATCCAAAATCATCCAAAACCTTTTTGTGTGCTCATGGAGGCATTGTTAGTTTTTCCTCCTGATTGGAACTCTCCTTAGCAGATTCTCCAGCAAATGGGGATGAGTGGGGGGACAACCACAAGGATCTAAATGAATAGGAGTCTGAAAAGCTTCAGTATTCAATGCTGTAAGTCTTCTTTTGGATCCAAGCCCATGATTAGAAATTTCTAATCTTCTAACTTTTCATACTTCCTTTTGAGTAGAGTTTCTTACAAATAACAATCCTGTAGTGTGTATGCTAATTCTAAACGATATAGTTTCTTTCAGATATGAAAGCAATGTTGGTATCTCTGGACTGACTGCAGAGTTCTGTACTTTTTAATCTTGGATAAACTTGTCAGAAACTGATTTTAGGTCTTCCATTGGCCTAGGTTTCTCTGCTTCATATGGTCACAAAGAAAAGGCTGTACGTATAAGATAATTTGTTTGCTTCTCTGGACATGACCTAATGAGAAATATTTCCAGGTCAGACTCTGTTCTTGCTTGCAAATTTCCCCTTTCATTTTCCAAACACCTGTTTTTCCCAGGTTTGTTAGCTCTGACTCCTTGTTTTCTGCTTTCCTTTCTTTCATATCATAGGCCTCATGTTCTATCTGTCTAATACATTTCTCCGAACTCCTTTTCCATTCTCCTGGAACCATATGTTCTAATGTTTGACTGATTAAATAAACCCTTTTATTTACAATACATTCTGATATTCCTTCACTTTCCTTGCCTACTATCACTGTTAAAAGCTTATTTTGCATTTCGTATCTTGAATTACTTTTTTTTGCATTAGCTTTTACTGTCTTCCAAAACGTGGCATATTTCACCAAAAGTTTCCTTTTTTTAAAAAAAAGCAGAACATCTAATTAAAAATAATTTCAATTTCACTAGAATTAACATGCATTTATTCTTCAGTCTAATATTTAACATCTAGAAGTTGGCAGGAGGATGATGGAATCTAAAGAATTCTAGAGCGTGTACCTGAATCTCAGAAACAAAATTTGGAATAATAAAAAAGATAGCTGTGATTTACTCAGGAAATAGCAGCTATTGCTAATAAATAAGGGGAATAGAAAGTATATAAGACTCATACCACCTCCAGTACTCTGTTTTTGGCTGCCCATGTACCAGCACTGTCAATATGTTCATTTTTTACTTTAGGAAGCTGATTTGTACAGACAACTTCCCATGGAATCTGAGAACCTTGCCCCAGTTCAGACTGCTGTGAACACACCTAACATGACACAGGACATGAGATCTATTACAAATAATGGGTCAGATCCCTTCCTGAACAGGCAAGTACAGTGTTTGCTCACCAGCCATTTTATGTTCTATAATATAGGCCTCATTTAAAATTTGCTTACCTGTTAAAGCATGTGAGTAGTGTTTTCCACAGTAGCAGTTTTGCTTATAAGTTACAAAAGCTTTAATTGAATATAGCCATTTTATATTTTTAATTCTGATCAATTCTGATCTGATTATTTTTTATTTGCATCTTTAGTGGTATGTAAGAAATTGGCCAAAGATATTTATCATATGGGAACAGGCAGATGAGGCTATAGGCATTTAGCCTGAGAAGGGTTAGATGTCAATTTGTTATCTTATGTATATGCAAGTTCTTTGTATATACTGTATGTATGATTAGGAAAAAAAGAACTTGCATGCTAGATGGCAAATCTTTACATGGGTACTGTTTCTCTGTCCCTGTAAATTTGGATTGACACTGCCATTTGCTTTTAAACGATTGGCATCATTTGACAGTAGAAGGATGGCAACCACTGGTTCCACTCCTTAGCTGAAGTTGTGACTGGGAATCATGTATCCTGCACAATGATTGTAGCTGGTGCCAAGAAGATGGTGTGGGAACAGATGTGGTTGAAAGATGCAGGTCAGCATGCAGTTTTGCCAGTGTTTACTAAGTGTTCTTCAAAGGCTACCAGTGGCAGAGGGAGGATGAGAAGTAGAAGGGAGCAGGGTTGGGTGCTGCAGTTAATTGGATCAGTAGAATTGGAGGATAGAAAATTGGAACCTGAGATAAGTCTAGTAGACCTGGGTTAGTACACTGATACCTCATCATGGAGCTTTTTAAAAAAATTATTGGAAGGATCGACTTACGGACCCTGCATGCAAGGCATGTACTGTGTCACTAAGATATGGTCCCACTCCTTGACCTAGGCCTCTCTCCTTTGGGCTTTTTTGAGTTTTCATGATACACTGGCTACCAAATTGCCAGGAGGTCTAAAATGATAATATGGTATTATATTGCATTGTACAAATTTTATTTTAACAAAAGTAAGATTTCCAGTTGCCAAATTCTCTGATAGATGTTTTCAGCCTGTCACAAGGGAATTCACAAAATATTGGAGTACATTGAGATCTATTTAGAGTCCAGAGTTTAGCCATTTGGACTCTATTTTGTAAGCCATTCTGGGGACAGACATCTGATGGGCACAGTCTTGACCGCGGACTCTTCATGTCTCAATTCATAGTGGGCCATACCATTCCAGGGAGCAGAGCACAGACAGTGGCCTAGGCTTAGGATGTTACAGCATACCGACTACACCTGAAGACTTCCTCAGCAATGTAGATGAGATGGACACAGGTATGAACAAGAAGCATATTTTTCTTCTTAACAAAATTATAAACAATATGCTCAGCCAATGACACTTTTATACTTGCCTGAATTACATATTCAATTGCCCAGTTATCCCTAAACTGCACCTTCCAATTTGTGTGAGAATTGTAGTCCCAACATGCTAAGTAGGACTGATATTGCATATGCTTCAGTATGCAACCAAGAAGACCCTGGTTTTAGCCCTCAAGTTTATCTTTACCCCAATTTCCCTCCAATTTTAATCCTAAATTGTACTGAAACTGTGCTCCCTGAACCTTTTTATCCTTCTAAAAGTATCTGTTTGTGTGAGCGTGGGTGTGCAGCCAAGCGTTTGTTTTAGATTTGTGGACAGAATCCCTTTGCCCTCTTCTCTCCCTCCCCCCCGTTTAAATACTATTATCATTAACTACACTAATTCCCTGTTAAGCAGGTGATGGTATTGGTGACTCAAAAGTGAGGAACATATATTTTGCATAGGATCAGAGATTTATTTCTTTTTAGCTGATTAGTCCATGACAGTACTGATCTGAAGGCCTGACTTTAAAATCTGTTCTTCATAAAAGGTGCTCGAGAATAATTTAGAAATCCTTTAGACATCAATAGTGTGATGAGTCTTTAAGATGTGCACTGATAAAGGCATATTTCATAGGCACCTTAGTGAAAAAGGCTACTGCTGGAATTTCGGACTGATTATCATAGAACCCTGACCTTTCTGTGCTGGATGTTCAGAGAAATAGTTCAGACTATTTCTTGGTATGTTTTTCCCTTGCCCATTTCATATTATTAGAACCTGAGATATTTAGGATATTTCAAAAGTAATATTTAGGCAGGGAGTATGTGAAAACTGTACCATCCCTAGTGAAGCATCGGTTAATGAATTAACATCTGTCTGCACTATTACTAGGGATATATTCAACAACTTTACCTCATCCTCCTAGACCATGTTAAATTCCTCTTTGTACCAGATGCAGACAAGGATCTGTCATTTAAAGCAACAGTGGCAAAATACTTCTGGAAGATAAACCCAGTTCTTTAAAAAGAGGCCTTCAGTATTATTATTATTAAAAAGCTGTGAATGACACTAAATGAAGTTTTCACCAGTATTTTAAAAATGTTTAAGGCTGTCCTACTCCACAATGCCTCCAAGCCGTGTGCAGTAAAAACAATAATGAAATACATTTAAAACAAGCAAACAGAAAAACCCCACCCAAATACCATAAGCAAAGCAACCATGCCAACTCTGCCTAATCATACAGACTGGGCAGAAGCCATGAAAGACAGATGTTTCATTAGATAACCAGGCTTTGTGCCATGAGGGGATGCTATAAGCACTGCTGTAAAGCAATAACCAGCACCTTGCATTGCACTCAGAAGCCTGGGTAACCGGTAACCCATGGAGCAAAGGCATTGCATACGTCTGATGAGACACACTTGCCTGTGCTGCTGCAATCTGGACCAGCTGCAGCTTCTGAATAGTTTCGAGGGCAGCTCCATGTAGAGAACATTTTAGTATTCCATGTGTGAGGTGACCAAAGCATGAGTGACTGTCCAGGTAAGGATGTTTATCAGACAAGATGGATTTCTGCAAAGGGCTTCTAAGCCACAGCTGCAACCTTTTCCTTGAGCAGGAGTTGGAAGTCCAAGAAGACCCCCAAATTTTGCTCCAATCTTGAAGGGGAAAGTGTAGTATAGCTGCATATCTTTGGATGTGATAAGATTGTAAAAATAACTAGTTTTTGCCACTCTTATTGCTACAATGCAATCCCTAATATGGGCTCTAACTTGTGTTCAATCAGATTCATAATTTGTCTTCCTCCTATGGCCCTCCAGGCCAGCATTTCTCAACCTTGGCAACTTGAAGATGTGCAGACTTCAAATTCAAGTTGCCAAGATTGAGAGACACTGCTCTCTTTTTGTGTTTCATCTCCTGCAATTCCTCAGAAAACCAAGGAGCACCCTGGGATTGACCTGCAGGGAGAGACCTAAAAAGAGCCATCTGATCTAAAGCCCCCATTACTTGCCCATTCCAGGCCATCATCTGAACCACTTATCAGATCCTTGGGAAAAAAAACAAGCTCCCTCTGGAATCCTGCAAGGTCTATTAGTCATCTGGGGTGGACCTATCTAATAGATCCTACTTCTCTGTGAGAAGGGGCACAACAGGAAGCCAAAAAGCAATCCAAGAGTTACCTGTTCATGGCAGTGGACTAATGGTAATGTCCCCCATCCAGATCATTTCACAGCTGCCTCAAGATAAAAACCAGATCTAGTGTGTGAGCTTAAGTATGTGTCAACATCTCAATTACTTGGTTCAGGTCTGTGATTGCCATGGTGGACTCCTGAGTTGCTCCTGATTCAATGCCACCTAGGTGGAGATTAAGATCTCCAAGGGCTGTAAGCATTGGGGATTCCACCATCAACCTGGTGACAGAATCTAGCAACTCAGACAGAATTTCACTGTACAGCTGTGACTCATACAGCTTTGCAGAGACTTTTAGTGTGTCTTCTTCCTCCTCAGCATCTTCATGGTCAAGGGCTTTTCAGAACTTGTCTCCTAGACTATGGAATCAGTTCCCTAATAGTCTCCAGGCAACAACCAGTTGTTTAGTCCGATGGAAGAAACTGACTAAAGCTTAGGCACATTACAAAATCTTGTTCTTAGCCAGACAGATAACATGTTAACTTTTAATTTTTATAGTTCATGGATTCTTAATTGAATTGTTTTATTGGTAATTTCAGTGGGTATATGATTGTATCTTTAATTGCTTTTGCTATTTTGTAATTGTGAATTGGTTGGTTTTCATTAGGTTGTTATGTTTTTGTCATCTCTGTAATTGTATTGTGTAAGATTTGTATTTACTGGTTTTCTGACTTTCTGAAGTTTTAATTGTTTTGAATTTTCTGTTTGCTCAAAGGTAAGTCATGAGGATGAGGATGAGACATTCTATTGAATATGATACCAAAGAGGGTTATTCACATCCCCGTTTCTTTTTTTTAATGAATAATTTTTATTAAAGGATGTTCCAAAGATTTAAAAAACTACAGAAACATAGAAGAAGAAAGAGAAGAAGAAAGAGATTATGAAAGGGTAAAAGAAAAAGTGAAGAATAACAAAAAAGCAAGAAAAAGAAAGATATCTAAAGAAGCAACTTCCGATCTTCTTTGCAGCAGTTACAAGTATAGCAATTACCATCTCCACCCTCCCATATTGCATCTCATAGTTCTTTCTTCACATAAACAAACCTTTTTAATCAATAAATCCTGAGATTCACATCCTTGTTTCAATCATGAAGTGTCAGTTTGTGAGATTAATACCTGGAACCTGTGCCTATGATAAGTCACCTTTGGATGGGAAGATAAATTTGCATGTGACTGTTCCTCAAAACAAGAATAATTCCGTTGACATAGAAAACTGATGCACTCAAAGAAAGAGTATGCCAGAACCCTCCCTTTAATGTCTCATTTCCTATATAAAGGTACTCACTTTACATAGAGAAACTTTGTTACATGAACCCACCACGAAATTGAAATGGTTAAAACCCCAGAAACCATCTTAATATGGGCTTAGTCTGAGCAAACCTTAAATCTGCCTCTGGAGGTTTTCCATCTAGCCTTTCTTTCTGGCTTCATTATTTGGGTATTGATGGTTTATTTTAGCCGCTACTTTGGGAGACTGTTTAGATTGCAGAGGTGCCCCTTGCACATATTCTCTAGACACATAGCAAAATAAACAAACAGACTTGCAAACAAAGCCTAAAGTGACCAAATGGATTTCCTTGCAAATTGAAACACAGGTATTGGTCTTCATTGAATCATAATGCTTATACTGTAATCTACTTTTTATTTAGCAATTTGAATCTCCCTCTTCTATCTCTCTCTTTCACACATGCACAGAGGACAGTAGAATAAAATACCAGAAAATGAATGCATGGTACTTTTTTAGTTGATCATAACTCTTCATTTGATAGGGAAAAACCTGCAAGGTTGATCATTCCTAGGTCTCTTTCAATAGTACCATGCATTCCTGTGGCAAAACAACACAGACAGCATTCTTGGAACTGTGTGTGTGTGTGCGCACGTGTGTGTGAAACATTGTTTACATGATCAACAAAGCAGTGTCATTCTTACATTGACCAGAATGAACTTTATTTTTAATAGTAGCTGGGTTTGTACAACACACTGAGCAAAATATTTTAGCCTGACATGTGTGAATCCAAGCTGTGTGGTTAGTTAATGGTCCAGGGGGACATGCAAATCTAATAAACCATTAATAAACAATGGATAAGCATGTTGTACAGACAGCCATATAGCACTGCCATATGTCTCAGACCATCAAGTCAAATCAGGTTTCAAAATGTAAAACAACCCTCCACGCCCATCCCAGAAAGTCTGGATTGGGAGATAGGGAACAAAAACATCTAGACATAGCTAACTGAAGTCTGGCCCTTTGGGCCAAGTAATCTCTTATTTGAGAAGCTATTACTTCATTAATTTCTTCTCTCTCTCTCTCTCTGTCTCTCTCTTGCAGGAGATAATGTAGCACAGACTCCCATGAATATCAACTCCCAGCAGACCCGCTTTCCTGACTTCCTTGACTGTCTTCCAGGAACAAATGTTGACCTTGGGACATTAGAGTCCGAAGACCTGATCCCCATCCTTAGTGATGTGGAATCAGTCCTCAACAAAAATGAACCTTTTCTCACCTGGTTGTAACTGATAACCCGACATTTCCTTTCCCTCTAGAATTTAAGGCCAAGTGTCCTCAAGTCCCTCAGCTAACCAGCCTAATCCTTTGCTGACTTTTCCAGCCCCTTTATAAGTCAATGAATCTTGACTGGGATTTCATTGACAATAACTTACGTTTGAATTATATACAAATACAGTATACACACACACCCTATTTTTAAGGAGTAAAATTACTTATAGATATAAATGTAAGTTTTACCTAGACATGTTTTGAGGACACAAAGGGGTTTTTTTGCACCATGTCTGAACTTAATGGTCATCAGTTACACAGTTCAGTGTGTAATTAAGGAAAAGAAAGAGAGAGTTTTGACTGTAAGAAGCTTTAGACTGCAGAAGTTAGCTTGGTTCTGAAAACCTAGCACACAGTCAAATACAGCTCTATGATTATATTTAATGGTCATTGCACCAAATGCTTGTTATTTACATGAGTTTTAAAAATCATTGTTTTAAATAAACTCATGCTGTAGGGGATACAGCATTTTTCTTTTTAATTCCAAGTCAGCCACAGAGCAACTTTTTAAAAACTTGCAAAGCACAAACAGTACGATTGGGACTTTTTCAGTTGCTATGTGGTTTTTTAGTAAGCAGTACTTTCACTTTCAGTAAAAGTGAAATGTTTTAGCTATCGTTTTTTACACTACCACTGCATTATAAAATCAGCCAGGTTGGTACTAATTGCTGCCATTTTTAAACTATATAGAAAACTACAAATGCAATTATATATGTTACATTCTTTTTTTATTTCATTTTAAAGAAGTACACTTTATATGTAGCTGTTTAAAAGACTATTTTACAGTGAATCATAAAAACAATAAACTTTTTGTTGTGTCACATACAAACTGAACAAATATTTAGCAAAACACAATTTCAAAATTCTGGACAAAATGTCACATTATTGAATGCAGTAACAATTTTGTAGAACCTCATTATCTTTTTTCTTTTTAGTTATAATACATTTTGTTGATCAGATTTTACAAGCTAGAAATAAAAGCTTCACTTTATCAGTTAGGTGAAAGCCAACATCTCTTTGTCAGTGTGGCAAAAGTGCTTAACTTCTTAGCAACTTCTTACTTCTGGCATATGGGATAAAAGACTATAGTTGGTATACTCCTAGCTGTATTCATATAAAGATTATTAAATAGCTGATATTTGGGACTGAGAATGCATCAAGGACTGCAAGTGCTCACTTTCCCTGAAATGCAAATGACGTCCTGAAATTCTTAAGTATTTTAAATTGTTTTTATTTATAATCCATGAACATTAAGCTTTTTTATATTGAAAAAAATCATCTTTTTATGAAAGGCATTATAGTTAATAGAAGCCTCTTAATCAGTGATATGCAGAGCAAATAAAGAGGTGAAGCGCATTGCTAAGCTTCAGGTGTAACAATAAACACTTATTACTGTATTATAGAACTGGGCAGTAGACTGGGTTATATGCCCCTTATTTTCCAACTTAGTGAAGAAAAGGCAGATGAAATGAATGTTAGATTGAAGTCAATAAGTTAGGTTGAAGAGTGGCTATGGAGAGAATGCAGATAGCAGTGCGGGAGTATTAAAAAGTCAATTCCAGGGATTACCCCAGTGGATGAATTAAATATCGGTGAACACTATTTTGTGGGAGAATTGTTGCTTGAAGGTGTTTGTTCAGAATGCACCAGGCTAGTTTTCTTTTCACAACTTTTTAATCCTGAGTGATTTAAAAAAACAAAAGCAAAGTTCAATATTTGTGAAGTTCAATATTTGATCCAGAAAATATTTTGTGTTTGTTTTATAAGGGCAGGGGTGGGTAGGCAGACATAAGTAAGTTGATTAGTTTGTTTTAGCAGATTCTTGCACCTACTAGAAAATATTTTCCATCAATGGGCATTCTTTCCCTTTTATTTTAAAGGACTTTTTTTTTCCTTTTGCTTGCTCACTTAACATATAGGATTAATCATTAAGAGAGCAAGAGATTTGTCTTTAAGCAATGTTATTGCATGTTTCCACTATTTACAGATTATCAGCCATAATATGAAAACCAGACACTCCTAAGATGTTTACTATTTTAGCTATGTGAACAAGTTTCTTCTTTCTTGATTTTTTTCTTACCTGCTTAGAAAAAGAGGAAGTTATTAAAGACAGAACCAGATCTCACTTTATTGCACAATCAGTTTTTGTGCTCACTGACAAGCTGGAGAAACACTGCCATAAATCTCTTCACTTAGCATCAGACCACTTGACAATTTCTGGACTTTTGTAGATTTACAGATTTATGACATACATAGTAATATTTGCTGTGGCAGACTTAGCTGGAGTAAATCATCAATAGGCTTCAACAGAAGATAGCTCACTTATTCTAAAGAAGGATCAGATCAAATACATTTATATTTGAATTATCAGTTCCAACATATTTGTGCCCGAGATTGTCTTCCAGCTTGTACAACCAAAAACATCCACCAAAAGAACTCTTCCAAGTTGTGTAAGTGATATAATTTAACCCCTTCTAATTGTTTTTTGGGAAGTAATCTGCATGAATTGGAATTACTTCCATTTAAAGTGGAAGTGGCTTAGAGAAGGAACCAAGCCTCACCCAGGCCCCAGCTGAGTCTAGGAGAGAGTTTAGAGCAGAAAGGAGAGTATTGTCTTAGTCCAATATGACACCAAAGATTGGCAAGGAAGCAAAGTTCAACCTTTAGAGCAGGGATTTCAAACTTTTTCTGGCACCAGAACCAGTTAATTAAAAAAAGTAGACTAATCTTCAGAATCACTAATCAAGAGACACTAGTAATAGAAAATTGGCTTTATTTTAGTGCTTCTGGGGGGGAGGGGTTGCCCATAGTCTCCTACGGAACTCCATCACGTCTTAATGGACCGTAGAGTTCCGCAAAACAGTTTGAAAAACCCTACTCTAGAGAACTGCAGCAAACCTCATTTAGAACCAGCAGATGAGAAAATATATTTTTTCATTCATGAAGGCTGCAATAGTTAGCCTACAAAAATCAAAATGACCATTAAATGGCAGCAAGGAGATACAGAAAACACTATTTTTTGCTGCCATTTAGTGATCTAGATTTTTGCAGTCTAAATCTAGTAACCCTATATTTTTGTAAGTAGAAGAGGCAATTCTGTGCATACTTCCTTGTTATTGCTTGTTATTGGCATCCCCGTGGTAACTCTGGAATTGAAGTAGATAAATAGGTGGTGAACATGGAAAACTTGTGAGAAAATGATACTGTTGTTCTTTTTTTCCTACTCACCATGGTGAAGGTAAATGCTATAAACATAGGGCTACCAGAACAAGGCTTGAAAAATCTGGATGACCACTAGATGCCAGCAAAAGGGCTACCATTTTCTGTATCTTTTGTACCTAGTGGGTTTTTAGAGCCCAGATCTAGTAAATAGAAATAATGCTGAACCATTCTATGGTGTTAAAAAAGCTGCATTATTGCTGGCAGTATGCTTGATTTAAGTTTACAGTGCTCAGCGCAATTACTTTAAGACCTGTTGCACCCAGTGGGAATAGCTTCTGAACAGGTGTGCATAAGTATTTTGACTGGCAAATTTAGAGCCCTGCAGTCTTTTGGGATTATGACTCCCAGAATTCAATCCATGTGACCCATGGAATTCTGGGGGCGATAGATCCAAGCCATATAGAAGGCAGTAGGTGGAGGTAAAACAAGTTTAGAACTATAGTGTAATAAAGATAAATTGAACATGTTAACCTACAAAGGTTTCATACAACTGATGGGAAAAGTCAGCATTAGAACAAAAGGAGCCAATTTTGTTTTGTTTTAACTGCCAGAACTGTTGTTTTTAAGGAGTGAAGCATCTAGTAGTAGAGATTGGGTATGAGGGGGGGTGGGGAGATCCCAATAGTCACAAAAATGGGAGAAGACTGAATGAAACAGTCTGTATTTTGCAAAGCCCTCTTTTCATTTTTTTTAGGGTTGCTTTGCAAACAGTTATTTCTTACTGATCTAATAGTTTTTCACAAAATGTCAGTGCAAGACTATGATTTGTGGCATTTAGTTACTTCATTTTTTATGCTAAGTTACTTTTGTGAACAGTGAAAAATACAGTAGTAGAGCAGTCATGCTGCCAATCAAGGATTTTGAGTTGGGGAAAGGCACACTTAAATCCTGATTATATACAAGTTATGGGATATTGGTAACAACTTGTAATCTTGAGTGAGGGGAAGTTTTGAGGTCCTTGTTTTCCAAACTGGCTTCTAGGGAATTCTGAGGTTTCTTAGAAGTATATTAAGAATTCCAATGTAAAAACAAATTAACTTTCATTAAAGTGAACTTGCCTGTTAATGTGCAGTGAGAAAAGTTGGCATGGTGTCTGGTGACTGTTACTGAACTAAGATTCAGAGACTCAGATCCAGGTTCCCAGTCATTGATGATGTATTCTAAGCATCTAGTCATGTTCTGTTACCTGTCCTATGTCACGAGGTGGTTATGAGAGTAAAGCAAGGAGAGTGCCATATATGCTACCATGAACCCCATGGGAAAAAGATGGGATAAAAATGTCATAGAACAAGGAAACCTTTCCTGCTGCAACAGATGCTGTAGTACTGGCTGTATCGCAGAGTTCATCTTAAGCTTGTGAAAGGGAAAAGTGAGATCCAACAGGCCTGGCCAATGTCTTGTGTTAACAGTGTGTGCACTTGAAAATTATCCCTCTAAACCACTGGAAGGAGTTAATATGCCAAGTGCAAAAGGGTTCCCTGAAGGCAGATGTTTGAAAACTGCTGTATCGGAAGTTAAACAAATTGAAAATAAAGCATTGGAAAAGCAAGTGGTTTTTAGTTTGAGTTGGAGAATTTAAATACCTGTTTTCCGGAAATGGATGGTAAAACAAATATTTCTGTTTTCCTAATACACTACATTCATTTATGTGCTAATACTTTAATACTTTTTTATTTACATCAGTTTGTTATGCTATATGCCATCTTGTGTGAGCATCTGTTTTCAGTGTAGAATAATTTGCATACATATGTGTATGCTTGAAAATCAGAACAAACGGTTATACCCAGAGTTTGTTTCTTTTTTAAAAAACAAAGTATTTCTTTATTATTGTACAAGAAAATAAATAAATAAATAGAAATTGATTTAAACTTTCTGTCCAGTGTGTTGGTTTATAGAATGTTGTTCACTTGTTCCTTGGAGAGAGAGAAATGGGACTCATATCACTGAGTAGAGGCAAAGTGTTGCCACTAAAAAGACAATGGCTATGTTCATGTAACACACTCTGGTAAAAGCTTCAGGGAAGACCCACCCTTTCAGCTTACTCCATTACCAGTACAGGCTATCCACCACTTCTTGAGTGCAGGAAGAGATATTTTCTCCACTCACTCCCAGACCATCACAAATACACCACCCCGCCCCACATGTTTTGAAGCTCCATTTCAAAACTTTTTCTGGCCCAAGTCATCTTAAATCTTACCAAGTGGATAGTCTTCAGTGCTTCCTTCTAATCTAGTAACAGCCTCAACTCCAATTGGCTACAGCATCTGGTCTGCTCCCTTCCCTCCAGGGACTGGTCACTATCCTGTACAGCCATTTTGTCTTGGGATGTCCAGCTTCTATGTTCTCTGGTGGTCAGCATCTGCCTTTTCAAAAATCAGATTGCAGTTGATCCAAGAATGGGCTGTTAAGTCAATTAACTTTCTTTGGCCATTTTTTCTTGCCTCTTGAAGAAGCTTATCACTTACATCTCCCAGTGGGCACCCTTTCAGGTTCTGCCCAGGGTGGAGGAAGCATGCTGCCCTTGATTTCCCATCTTCTCCCCACAGTATAGTAAAGCTTCCCTTCCCTTCCTTTTTTGTCCTTTAAATCTTTAGGTTGTAACATAGGCATGCTGGGATGAAGCTATGCCGTTGCAGTGAATGCTACTTCACTTCTGTGAAGCACAGCCATCAGTTCTTCCTTGCTACGAAGTTTTCATGGACCTACAGTGGAACACAACCAAAAGAACACCTATTCCTTTTGCTTTAATCATAACAGCACTGAAGCAACAATGGAATGGAAGTTGAAGTCCACACATTTTAAAGTTCACAAGGTTGAGAAATGCTGCTTTACATTTTAAAATAACCAGTCCAGTACTATGTACAAATGTTTTGAAATTGGCTTGTTTCAATTTGTCATAATTCAGATTAACTATAGTTTATGTTTCAGATGTAAGCCTAAACTCTGCTTAGTTAAAAAAAGGAAACAACAGCTTCTGATTTCAGCTGATGCACATAGGATTCAAACATAGGTTAGCATTGTGTCCAGATAAGGCAGCATCAGGATGTTGCTAAGCATAAAATCAGTAAAAGAACAGCAAGGTTCTTGAATCAAAATACCATATTCTTATATGGACTTGGTTGTCCACTTGGTTTCCACAAGGTTGAGAAACACTGATGTAAACGAAAGCTTTGTAATTCCTCCCAGTTCCACCAAATGAAAAGAAGGGAGGGAGATATTGAATAAGTCTATATCAATAGTTTATGGGTATGCCCAAACTTAAGCCTACAAAAATAAGCAGCTGGTCTTTTTCCTAGCATGAAGATGTAAAGGAGATAGGGGAAAAATCACCTTCACTTCTCTGTATTAAATGCCATCATAGAAAAACAAGGCCTGTAAAGACAAACTTAGCTATTTTATATGTACAGAAAGAACATGCTTAAGAAGCCTATTCTATTATTTTATCTCACCTCCCCTTCTCTCTCAGGAGAAAGTATAGTGGTAAAGGTGTTGGATTTGGGACAGCGAGACCCAGATTCAAGATCCCACTTGACCATGGAGGTCACTGAGTGATGGGGGACCAGTCATTCTCTCTCAGCCTAATTTTTATCTCACAAGGTTGTTGCTGTGAGGATAAAATGAAGCTAACCCTCCAAGCGACACTGAGGTTTCAAAGAAAAGGAGGGATATAAATCAAAATATATAATTAATACAGATAGCCAGTAATATAATAAACTACTAAATGGTTAGCCATATATTTTGGAATCACAATGGCAGCTTATTCTGTTAGTAGAAGCAGGAATAACTAGAAGTATATCCACAGCCCTGCTGGATATATACTGCTAGGGCAAAGATGGGAAAGGAACAACATAATCCTTTTTTTCCCTATTCCAGTTACTTAATATTTCCCTTTCCTGTTGGAACCGATGAAAGGAAAATGTAGGTGTGTTTGCAGACAGGGTGAGCTTCCAAAATGTTCCCCAGCCTGCCTTTTTTTTTTT